CGTTCAGACCGGGTGTAGACAGCTCGCTTTTGTCTCTCGCAGTGTCGACGACGTCAACACAATAGACGCGCTATGCGAGTGCAGTGAAGCGCAGAGAACGAAATCGGCGCGCTACACTTTTAAAACCTACGCGACCGGCGTAGAACAGACTGTTCCTAAACTCGTCCTCCTCTCCAAACTCCCCGTTCTCCTCCATTCATCGCGCTTTAAAGACGAAGAAAAGAAGAAACTAACGCCAAGTCGAGCATCGAGGAGATGAAGCTGGCGGCCTACATTGCGCGCTCTGCAGAGTTCCACAACACATCGCGAGGAGGCGCCTACTTACATGCCGACATACAGCGAGCGCCTTTCAAGAGAGGCGGCAGTGGCCGAATTCTCGTCAAGCGCGCTGCTCTGCTAATAGCCGGGCCATCTCGCTCATCTCTTCAGAAAAGGAAAAAAAGAAGCGCGCACCCGGCCGCGCGAGGCAAATTAGACGCGACAGAGCACAATGAGGGTTTGAGCGAAGCAAGAAAATTAAAAAAAAAAAGAAATTGAGAAAGAAAAAATGAACGACGAATGCGGCCGGGATGCAAGACGTTGCATTGTGCGGAGTATAGCAGTAGCAGGTAGCGCCGCCACGCGCCAAGTTGACGACGGCGCCACTGATCTCCACTAGACGGCGCTCTTGTAGAGGAGCGAGGGTGTGCGCCATGCGTTCGCGGCGGCGGCAACGAGAAACAACACGGTTAGTGCAGCGCCCCCTCACATTTCGGCGGGAAAGAAAAGAAAATCAAGTCCAGTGCTGCGGCGCATTAGGGACACGCCAAATGTGAAAGGACAAAGATGCATGAATGGTTGTGCAGAAGAAGAGAGAGGGGGGGGGGGGCAGGAACGAGATCAAGATCGCCCGTCGGAGCAGAAATACAAGAAATAAAAAAGAAAATGCTTCGGGTCTTGTTCCACATCGCAGATTTTTCGAAGTGCGCGCGCTTAGCTGCGCCACTGACCACGAGGTCAGGACGAGACCTAGCTGCCTCTATTTCCTCTTTCTTTCTTTTTTTTTAACGCCGCGCTTCTTCTCGCTTATGCACACTATTTTAAATTTTTTTTTTTAAATGCTGCCACGTGCGCTAAAGTTTAGATTAGATTTGTGGGGTTTAACGTCCCAAAACCACCATATGATTATGAGAGACGCTGTAGTGGAGGGCTCCGAAAATTTTGACCACCTGGGGTTCTTAAACGTGCACCTAAATCTGAGCACACGGGCCTACAACATTTCCGCCTCCATCGGAAATGCAGCCACCGCAGCCGGGATTCGATCCCGCAACCTGCGGGTCAGCAGCCGAGTACCTTAGCCACTAGACCACCGCGGCGGGGCATGCGCTAAAGTTTAATCACTTCTTTTTGCATTACCCACAAAAAAAAATAAGTTTGGTAACACGCAGGACCAGTTGTTTCAACTTTAACGCCAGAGACAATCACAAGAACGACATGCCTAATGATTCCTGCCATTTCATGTCCCGAAACCAGGATATCATTAAGGGAAAAGCCTTCGTGGAGGGCTCCGAAAATTTCATCAGCGTGGGCAATGTGCACTGACATGTAAGCAATCGGGTCTCGAGTGTATCGCGCCTTGGGAACTTACAGCCTACATATTATTATCATTATAGTTTTTCCCGCTCTTCGATACGCTGCCTCTAAGGCCGGGATTCCACCCCGCGACCTTCGAGTCAGCAGTCGAACACCAAGAACACCGGAATCAACCAAGATGCAAACAAATTTACTGAACGCAGTCACGTATACAAAGGCGAAATTGTTGAGCCCTAGCGAAGCAAGTACTTCAATAATGGCTACTTGCCTTGCCGTGGTGGTCTAGTGGCTAAGGTACTTGGCAGCTGACCCGCAGGTCACGGGATCAGATCCCGGCTGCGTCGGCTGCATTTCCGATGGAGGCGGAAATCTTGTAGGCCCGTGTGTGCTCAGATTTGGTTGCACGTTAAAGAACCATCCCCAGGTGGTCGAAATTTCCGGAGCCCTCCACTACAGCGTCTCTCATAATCATACGGTGGTTTTGGGACGTTAAACACCACATATCAATCAATTATCCAATCGTGACTACTCATACGTTCACACCCAATTCGAGCTGGCTTTTTACTATCAGGCATTGCGTTCCGTAGCGTAAAGACAAGGCGCAGGAATTTGGAGGCTGACAGTGGTTCCTCAAAAAAATTGAGAACAGCTCTAGGAGCGAAGCACCGAAGTACTATAGGTGTAAGGCTGTCGTGTCGGGACGATAGTGGTGTCGATCGCCGAACAAACTGGTGAAGCAGGCGTACTTGATATTTCTGGGAGAAAATTTATTGGAGCAGGCCGGACCACCCGTGCATAGATAGCATGTGATATGGTTACGAATTGGTGCACGAGAGAGAAAGCATAACTGAACGCGACAGAGAGTCATGGTAATTGTCGGGGTTTAACGTCTAGAAACCACATTTATAATAATGAGTGAGACCGCACTGGAGGGCTCCGCAAAGTTGGACTAGCTGGAGTTATTTAACGCGCACAGATTGAATAGCACAGTATACACAGGTCTCGAATATTTGCCTCCATCGAAATGAGGAGGATGATTTGGCGTTGCGAAATAATCAAAGGTTTGTCTGTATAAGATTGAGTTGGCGGGCCCGATACACATGTAAGTGACCCTGCTTCTGCAACGGGCACCAATGCAATCAAAACTGTCCTTGTGTCATTGTGACGACACATTGAATGCCGGTTACGGCCAGTAAGTAGTCTTGATTAGGTTGCATAACTGAAAACAATAACAAGTATATTCCAAAGCATAATAAATGGTAGTATCATAACTATGAATGCGATGATGAACTTGTGGTGACGATGATAGTGCATCTTCAGTGACATTTCTGGTTTGGTTCGCAGTTTCGAAATGTTAATTTTGATTGATTGATCGATTGATTGATTGATTGATTGATATGCGGAGTTTAACGTCCCAAAACCACCATATGATTAGGAGAGACGCCTTAGTGGAGGGCTCCGGAAATTTCGACCACCCGGGGTTCTTTAACGTGCACCCAAATCTGAGCACACGGGCCTACAACATTTCCGCCTTCATCGGGAATGCAGCCGCCGCAGCCGCGATTCAATCCGGCGCGACCTGCGGGTCAGCAGCCGAGTACCTTAGCCACTAGACCATCGCGGCGGGGCGCGAAATGTTAACCTTACCTGACGGTGGATGGTATACGGGGTGTCCCACATAACTTTAGCCAGAGTTAAAAAATATGCCGGAACACTTAATTACGACGCGACCAACTGCATGTTGCTCACTGTTGCCTAGAGTAAGTCAGACTATTTTTTGTGTTCTTAAATACTGTTTGTTGGCACTGGCATACGAGCGGGTTTGTCACGTGTTTTTTTTTATTTCGCGGGCATTTGTAATTAGCAGAAAAACACTAATACCTAACAGATATCAAGTTTAAAACTCTCTAATCAGTTTTGCAAACCGATCTACAACTTTTTCATTGAAAATTTTATCTATTCTTTGTTTCTTCAATAGTTAGTGAATTAAACATATTTAATTAAACAATATTTGAGAAGAAAAAAAATAGTCTGACTAACTCCAGGCAACGGCGAGCAACATGAATTTGGTCGCGTCGTAATTACGTCTTCCGGCATATTTTTAAACTCTGGTTAAAGTAACGTGGGACATCCTGTATATTTACATTCGCTCGTCTCAGTACTTTAATAGTCAGGAGACTGGTACCTCGTAATTACACAATTCTCTACGAATACCAAAAGAAAAAAAAAAGAAATTGGTTTAGGTGTTGTTTTTTTAGAATTATGGGGTTTTATGATGAATATTTTGAGAAAGTGGAGTGTGTGCGCACGTCTGTGGGGTACGCATTTGGCATTTGTGTCTTTGTCCAGTAACCACGCATGTCATATTTTAACGCCACTCGGTCGGATAATAATATGACGGAAAGCTACACAGGCAACAATATGCAGCTCTCATAAAAGGCAGCATATCTCATAATAAGATCAGACACTATCGCACACCTATACATAGATTCATGTGGTGAACCAAGTCAACAAGGTGTAAGTATGTACATCAACGAGGTTGCTATTTGGGCCAGTAAATGGTAAATATTCACTTGCCTACTCTGTAACACTTTTAGATGGACCAAGACGCTACGCCTGAGTATTTCGCTACTATCCCGACGTACCTCAGCCACCGCAAGCTACATAAAGAAAACACTGAGAGTACTGCAGTCATGGTTATAACACGCACGACAAAACTAGCTGAGTCATCTACTTATGTTTTTTAGCCCATTGAGTTTATCACTTTGCGCACAGTAAACTTTCTCAAACTTCTGCCCCAATCGCCCGACATTGCGAAAGTGACCGTTTTGTTCCGTGATCCTCCCGTCGCTTAGCTTTGTGCTCGTTTTTTTTTCCACGCTACTTCAACTTGCTTGCATGGTGAAAGTCACACGCTATGCATTTCGTGCTTTGGTTTACGATGAATGATTTGAGTGCGCGAAGCAGGCGCGCGATGTTAGACCGGGCGCACATATCCACTGTTTCCTGTTAGTTCGATTGAACTATACAGTGATTCTTTTATTCCGTCATGGCATAGAAGCCTGATAGACCTAAATAAGACTGCGAAAAAGTCTTGCCAAACTGCGCCAGATAAGGGTTCCGACTTCAGGATCTCTTTTACACCGTTTACTTACGCAGACTTCACTAACGTCCACTGCATATAGCCGGTACATAACAACATACATTCGCACCGTTACTTGACGCCCATCGTTTCTTTCACTGTCTCGGTGGTGCTAAAGCTACGTCTAGTTTGGCCGGTTACGCACTAGCGAGGCTGACACCTTCGCGGAGAAACCGACACTGTGACATTGTAGACTGCACCAAACACCACGCTGCCTAAGCATCGAGTGCCCGAACGTAGCCCGGCGATGGGAAAGCGACATCTATACGGCGCACGACATACTCACTTTCGTGATCAGGCGCAGCCTCCGCGGACAAGACCAGAAGGGCGACGATGAGCCCGAGCAGCCGTAACCGGGAAGCCTCTCCTCCGAACTTTGCACTGGTGGCACACATTTTCGAAGTCGAGGAGTTAAAACAAAAAACTGCAGAGCGATGGTCTTGTTCCTGCGCTCGTTATCGCAGGACTGCCGCTTTTTCTCAGACACGGGCACTTCTTCCAGATGCAAAACGACAGAAACAAAACCAGTCTATCTTGTTCCCGTTATCACCTGCGGCTCATCCCTGGCCGATGCGGACACGATACGGCCGGATCCTTATCAAGTGAGGCAACCGTGAGACAGATCTCGAAGACAGGACCGGCAGACACGGCCCGTTTATGCGTCTCTTTTACGTCACGTCTTAATCGGGAAGGAACCAGGGCAGCGGGACTGCTCCTTCGCGTTCTTCTTCCGGGCACGAAGGGGGGAGCGACGACTTGACGACAAGACAAGCGACGAGGAGTCCCGCTGAGAAGCCGTCGGCGCCACGCCACGCGCTGCCCAAAAACAAACAGCTCGCCCCTTCTTGCACGAATGAACGTAGTGCCGCCGCCGATCGGTCGGTCGCCAGACAGCACGGGCGTTCGGAACGCGGCCTCTACGGTCACGCCGCAGGGGGACACCAGGAAGAAGAGCCAACGGGCGGCCGCCGAAGCTGCCTCGATGACGCACACCTACGATGCGGGCCCACCGAGAAAAAAAATAAGACCTCGGGGCAGCCGAAGAAGGCACCAACTAACACAGGACGCGCCGCGTCGACTGTTGCCGACCAACTGGCCGCTCCTGGTAGCGGTAGCTGGTAGAGATCGCGTCTGGGAGCGTCCCTCGCTTGCAGCAACCCTGAACTTGATTCAGCAGTGAGGAGGGGGAGGGTGTTGCACGCTGGGTCGCACCGGCGGCGTGTGTTGTTGCGTCGTAAGTGGGCGAGAAAGACGGACCACGTGACACCCTCTCCGCGACGTTTAGTTGTTTTGCATTAAACGGCCCTGCCTCGGAAGAGAGGGAACCGGAAGATGAAGAGGAAGAGTGGAAAGGTGTGCGTGTGTGGGGGCCAAGTTCCGCCGCTGCTCAGTTGTTCCGAAAACCTCCTGCAGGGCGGGCTGTTGCGCCTGTAACGCTAGCGGAGCGGTTTCTTCGCACGCGTGGCTGTCTGGGTGGCTCGAATTTTTTTAAGGAAGAAGAAGAAGAGGGCAGCCGCCCTCTCGCTCTTTATTTACGTCCAACACCACCATAACTGCAGTGAGCCGGGTCATCGTTCGTCCCATTCTGGCAAACATATACGCCACGGCGACTTCAACGACGCCCATCGAAACAGACACACATACGCGCACATGTCGTGAAGAGAAGAGGAAGTGATGAAGAGCAAACGGAGGGGAAGATGAAATAGAAACTGGCTTCGTTCGGTTGGGGCCGTCGCTCACGCCCCCCAACTACGGCCGCAGGTGAGAAGTGCGGGGTGACCAGATGAAATTCGCAAGCTCCCACTTCAAGGCATCCTACAGCTCGAAATCTTCGGCTTGCTGACGAAATAAACCTTAACATTTTCAATGGATGTGTCTCTAAATAAGAAGGTTCTAACAAGCGGGAAAAACTCGTGCGTTATTAATAATATAGGGTCACGGATTTTACGTTTCAGAACAATGATACGATTATGAGTCACGCCGCACATAGAGGATGGCCCCGGAAACTTCTTCCACATGATGTTCCTTAACGTGCACTGGCATGGAGCAGTACATTGACCTTTAACAATGCCTCGCCCCGTAAGTCTAGTGGCTAAGGTACTCGGCTGCTGACCTGCAGGTCACGGGTTTGAATCCCGGCTCGGCTGCATTTCCGATGGAGGCGGAAATGTTGTAGGCCCGCGTGCTCAAATTTGGGTGCACGTTAAAGAACCCCAGGTGGTCGAAATTTCCCGGAGCCCTCCACTACGGCGTCTCTCATAATCTTATGGTGGTTTTGGGAAGTTAAACCCCACATATAAATAAATAAATAAATAAATAAATAAATAAATAAATAAATAAATAAATAAATAAATAAATAAATAAATAGCCTTCAACACTTTGCCTTCATCGAAAATGCTACCGACGAAACCACCATCGAACCCGTCGCGTCGGCAGCTGAGTGTCATAAACATTGTATGACTAAGGTGAACAATTGTCTGATAACGCTCCAGCTAGTAAGGACGGGATATTTTCTTAAGTGGCACTTTACTTCCAGCTGCTTCTCTGCAGAATTTCTTGTCCATTACACCTTTAAACATCGCAGTTAGAGTGCAAGAAAGGCACTGAACTTTGCCAAAGTTTGCACAGTTCACTACCCTGCATGGAGACAGGGGCATGAGGGGGTGCTGAAATAGTGGAAGAACTATGAGTGCTGATGGTTTACAATTGGCATGCAAAGCGCAGCAGGGTTGCATAGCTACATGGAGGGAGGGGTGTTGAGGGGAGGAGGGGGGGTGCGGAATCAGTGAAAGAAGCATGTGTGCTGACAGCTTCCAATTAGCATGCAAAGCGCAGCAGGTTAGCATAGTTAACCGATCCGAACTCGAAAACGAGGGTGGTCTCTTTCCCTATAGTTTTCTCGGCATTTCTTACAAAGGCCGTCTCTCCCATTCGCCACTCGTTTCTTCATCAAACACGCAGACAGTAAGCACTATAAGCGATGAGCTCATCAGCTTTTCGCGCTTTTGGGCTTCACGCTGTTATGTCCGCATGCCCAGTCGAAAACTCGCAAATTGAAGCGAAACAAGTTGATCGCGCACGGTAGCCACGAGAGACAAGGCAGAACGTGAGTGCGACTGCATGGAAAGGCAGGTAATAATTAAGAGACGATTCGCGAGTGATATTTCTCGTACGGAGATAAATCAAGAGCTTGTTCCCACACGGCGACACTTGAACAAACTGCTGACGTCACGAATTGCGCGAATGCATGGGATGTACCAGGATTGAGTAACACACTCGTTTTCAGCATCTTAGGAGTTCGTTTATGGACTCTTTGAACCAATTGCCTTGAAATGTTGCGGAATGGCTCGTGGGGATTCCTTTGGGCTGATGAGCTCTCAGGCGGGGCTCCCAAGATCTTTTCATAGCAAAAGACCGATCATCAAGCCTGTTCAAGGCACAAATTAAGGAGCAGAGATCATGTTTGTCAAATCAATTCTCAATCGGCTATCTGGTAATTGTAAAAGGAAAGAGGGCTCATGAGGGAAACAAACAGGAGAAGATGCCATGAAGACGTCGAAAAGTTATGAAAACGTGAATGTCTGCCTGACGCGGAAAAACACTGCCCTACAAAGTAACAATGTGCATGTCAATGAAAGTGAAAGGCAAGAAAGGTTCCCCATCTAACTATAGAGTTCTCAGTTTCAATAAAAGCTGACCGAACATTTCAAAGCCCATCTGACATCTTCTTCAGGCGGTGGCTGTCCGGCAAGGGGCTAGGGATACCTCTGTTTTTATGCATTTGTGTCTTCTCTACCATATTTCTTTCAACAAAACTTCAACTTGGGCTATTTATATTGAGTACGACAATCGTATGTAGTCCTGCTGAGCGAAAGCCAGGAAGGACAAAAGACGACAGACGGGGACAAGCATTGTAGACATATATACTTGTCCTGATGCTTTGTGAGGCAACGCAGTGTTCTTCGCGCTACGCCGATACACAAAAGACCGTTTTCGGAAGAGAACATGCTCAAATCGGGGCCCTATATATCCCTTTCGGCCCAGGTGTCGTGTATTGACGACACCAGGGCCGACAGGAGACAAAATGTCCCATGGAACCTCGAAAATAATATCAAACCCACTCATTCTCGGGAAAGCATTTCTTTAACTATCCCCACTGCGACTGACACCACTGTCGTTTCGTTTTTGCGGCGCTTGGAGCAGTAAAGAAGGAATACGGTCCTTAAAATTACCTCTTTCTGCCTTTTGTAGTAAAAGGCGCACATGCAGAATATATACGTGTTATAGTGTCCCAGACATACGCAATAATTGCTTTTTAATTGAAAATTGCACAAGTATGAACGCTCGTTCTCGAGCAACATTGGTGGGCGCTGCGGATGGGGCCGGCCGTTTCAAGTACTCGGTGCTGTTAAGAGTGGACAAATAGACAAATGTACAGACGGACAGACAGACAGACAGACAGACAGACAGACAGACAGACAGACAGACAGACAGACAGACAGACAGACAGACAGACAGACAGACAGACAGACAGGCCAAAATTTCTGCGTCGAAGGTGCCCAGAAAGGCTATCGTCTTTAAAAGCTGGACTGAGGACATTGTTGACGACAAGGTGGACAAGACGAGACAGGAAGGTGGCATTTTCGAGTTGAAGTCCCGAAGTTCTTTGAAGAGCTTCCACACTTTCAAATACTACGTTGATGCAGATTTTGTGCACTCTAGGGCGTAGCAGGAATAAATTTGCCATCTTTGTCATTTCATGACTACAGGACCATGATGGCCTAATGTGATGTCATGTCTATAAACTCATAAATACTTACACTACTGACTGAAATTTTTTTTTATTGATATGATATATAAGGAGATGTTGGCGCACCATTATGGCGCCGGCTACTCCTTAGCCGTTGATTGAGACTTGAACACGTATGTTGAAGCAAAACATACAAAGCAGTGCATGGAAAATAGAAAACTCGGGCACAGATATGCAAAGACACACTTATACGCACATATCACAATGGTAAGTAAATGTTCGAAAGTCAATGTAAGAAGACTCTGGAAATGTTCCTCGTTATTATTCGGTCCACCAGCACAAAACAGCAAAGCACACGTTTGGTCCTTATAAAGATGCATTCACTTGTATGTACATAATAGTTGATACGTCATTCATTTCACAACACACACGTGATGGGTGTCACATGATACTGTAAATAATAAGTACATGTGTTACAAATGAAGCTTCGTTCTTTGTTAATACTTGTCAGCAATCCCGCTGTCTTGTAAAAAACGTGTTAATGCTTTTAAAGCGTGGGACTGTAAAACTCCAGTTGGGCACGGGCCCAGAAGTTTTTTCATGCTAAATGGTCTGTGGTCCAATGCGAACAGTTCGCACTTAAGA